GCGGCCCGCGGTTGGACTGCCCGGGGGCACAGGTACATCCTCTGCCTGGTGAGTGATTTCGGCTCAGCTCAGCAGCAGCGTGCAGGCGACGCAGAGAGAGAGACTAGAGCGCTGTGTGGCGTTCCGCAGAGAACTAGCCTTTATTAAAGCAGGGCCTTCGGCAAAGGGAGCCAGTGACAGCAGCTCTCGTCGAACAGGGGAGAAACTGGGGTATTTATAGGGGAGGAGAGGGGTGTGGGGGAAACTGGGATACATGTATCGGGGTAGGATGGCAGGGGAGAGCACCAACGGAGTGTAACAGTTTAACATAACTAACTCCAAGATTTCTGGGAGTGACACTTTTCTCTCCCTGAGATAAAGTGCCTTGCCTCCAAGGGAGAGCCAGGATCTCTGAATCAGCTGGTTTCCCGGCCCCCACAATAATGCACAACTATTCAGTCTGCTAAAGACTCTGCCATGGCATCCAAGCCAGAACCTACCATTATTATATTTTACACATCAGGAGTCACGCAAATCTACCAGGTTTTATCACAGAAGGCAACGCCAGAGCAGATATGCTAGTGAGCCCTGCCTGGAGAGCACCACAGCCAGACACACTAGCACAAGCAAAAGCATCACATGATTTCTTCCATCAGGGTGTTTGAGCCCTACAACGGCAATTCCAACTGACAAACACAGAGGCTCATAATATTGTTAGCACCTGTGCTGACTGCCAGGGCCACACTGCACCACTGCAGCTGGGGGTAAACCCTTGTGGACTGCATGCCTTTCAAATCTGCCAAACCTATGTCACACACATCCCTGAATTTGGATGCTTTCAGTATGTACACTTATCCACTGATACCTTCTCATCAGCAATATGGGCTACAGTTCACACAGGAGAAAAGGGTCGGGATGCCATTGCACATGGGCGGTCAGCCTTTGCTGTTTTGGGCATCCCTCCCACCATCAAAGCAGACAACGGCCCTGCATACACTTCACAGAAAACAAGACATTTCCTACAGCTCTGGGGTGTAGCACACCACACAGGAATTCCTCAAATAGCAATGGGACAAGCCATTGTGGAAAGAGCACATGGCACTTTAAAACATATTACTGAAAAAGAAAAGGCAGGAATGTCTGGTGAGACACCACAGAGCAAGAGAGCTAAGGCTATTTACACACTAGATCACCTAACAGTATCAGAAAAGTCCCAGTACCCAGTCATTTTAAATCCCTTTCTATCATTACAATCATCTGGAGATGAACAGTTGCCTAAACCCAAGGTAGTGGTGAAAGACCTTCTCACTAATAAGTGGGGAGGCCCATGGAGTTTCATTACCTGGGGAAGGGGATATGCCTGTGTTTCCACAGACACTGGAACAGAATGGGTACCTGCCAGATGTGTCTGTCCTGCTCTGTGTCCTGCCTGGGACCACAAACAACAGCCTCCTGACAGAACCTCAATGGATGTAATGGAGCAGATTGAAGAAGAGTGACCAGAACAACTTGTTCATCTACCTCGTGGAAATCAGAGACTCTTGAAAAGGGCAGTTCATTTAAAAACTCTTTGTTTACAAATTGTTTTTCTGCTGAGTTTTTCTCACGGTTCTAAATGTTGAATGTTTTTGTTTCTTGTTTCTAGAGTTCAAGAATAATGTCAGTTCTAAGCAGTTTCTTGTTTCTAATGTTAAGTTGTAACTTGTACCAATAAGTAGTTAACCCATGGCATGTTAACTTGAAGGATTCTGATCTTACCTGCCAGTTCCTGGAAGTGAGTGGTTGCAAACTCAATTTAGTACACAAAGCATGTTGCTAGCCAAAGAGAACTAAGTTAGTCAAATTGATTAAAAAACTTCAAATTAAACCTATGCTGTACCTGTTATCATGTCTGCAAAGGGCCCTTGCAGATAAGACAACAGAGAGCAATTTATATTTTTTTTAATTTAACTGAAAAGGGTGAATTGTTGCAGTAATGTCACAGTGCAGCTGGTCTGGACTGGACCAAGTAAATCTAGACATAACACAAATCTAGTCTGGCTAGCCTAATTTATGTGTGAACCACTGCACACCACTGGCCAGGACGCTGGGCAGGGAAAGAAGTATCAGCCAATGGCTGTCTAGCCCGGGAAATTTGAACTGAGTATTTAACTGAGTTCTAAATAATAAATGAGGCTGTTTGTCTCATGAGCACCTGGAGCATGAGTTGTGCATTCTTTGTCTCCCCATCCACGACCATCACGTTACACACACCCACTCCTTCCCAAAGCTCCTTCCACAGCATCTACTACAGACACATCCCCCGCTACCATTCCTTGGCCAGGGGCCTCGTGGCTCATGCCAGACCCTTCTTCCTCCTGAGGAAGCCTCCTCCCAGTAAGGGGGGAGCCCCCCACAGCCCAGGATTCTCCAGCTCAGCCCCCCTAGAGCCAGGCCTCCTTCGGAGCCCCACATGCCCTGAGCCAAGTGGGGATTGGTGGCCATCTTGGCCACAGCAACCACAAATAAATTTAGGTTCAAACATAGGACAAGAGAGAAAGGGCCAGCAAAACCTCAGCTCGGGGCATGAGGAGAGCAGACTTCAGGCTGTTCAGGGAACTGGTACGCAAGGTCCCCGGGAAAAATGTTATTGAGGGTGCTGGGCTCCATCATTGCCGGTCACTTTGGAAACATCACCTCCTAAGGGCACAGGAGCAGGCGATTCCCAAATGTTGGAACCCAAGCAGGCAAGGCAGAAGGCTGGCTGCCTGAACAGGCAGCTTCTCCGGGAAAGAGGATGGAAAAGGAAGTTGTGTGCCCAGTGGGAGTGAGGTCAAGAGAAGAATACACAGATGTTTCTTGCCACTGTAGGGAGAAATTTGGTATGGTGAAAGCTCAGCTGGAGATGAAGGTGGCCAGAAATGTGGGACACAATCAAAAGGGTTTTAAAATACATTAATGAAAAAAAAACATTGTAGAAATAACATTGTCCCCTACTAGGGTGTGGATGGTCACCTCACAAACAGGGACAGAGACATGGTACAGGGGTTTAGTGCATTCTGTGCCTCTGTCTTCAACACTCATCCCTCCCTTCCCAGTGGAAAACATTGCATTGTACCAAGGGACACTGCAAAGTCCTTGAAGAGGGTAAGTCCTGCTCAGTGGAAAGCAAACCACCCCTGTTTGATCCACAGCATTCCCATCCAAACTCAACATGTGACAGCTATTGGGAAGAAAGACACCTTATCCCAGTCAAAACCAGAGCAGTGGAAGCACCATGAGCACTCCTTGGCAAATCCCGATTTATTTATAACAGAGGCACTGCAGAAGTCAGTGAGCTGCTAGCAAAAAACTCGTCCTGCCCTCAACAGCCCGTTCAGGAGAGCTCCCCAGAGACCGAGGGACTTCAACTCCCTTTGTCTCTGGAGGATATTTTTAGGCACAGAGTAGTGTTTGTTTCCAGCTGGTAGTGCGGCAGCATCTTGGGAGCTGTGGGGTTGACACTGCTGGCACCAGCACCCTTCCTGATGTGCCACCATTTGGTCCAGGGAATGATTCATTGCAACAACGGACTGAGCTCCCGTTCTTACTTCCAGGCTTTTTCTGGCCACGTCCATCTTCAGAGATGAGCCAGTTCTGCTGACCCCTGAGGCGGGCTGGGCTGTGACGGCACAAAGGGGCTGAGAGCTGGCATGAGGCAGGGCTGTGATGTCCCACAGTTGTCCTGGCCACAGCACTGTGACATCATTGTGTTGTCGCTCTATAACACGGGCCAGCACCCCCAGCTGCCAGTGCAGTCGCGATGGGACGTGCCGGAGTCATGGATGACGGTGTTGTCCTGATGACTGTACTTGTCCTGCTGCTGGCCGCTGTGGCTGTCTGGTGGGCTGTTGGCCACTGGCAACCACGGAGGCGGCAGACATGGAAAGCGAAGAAGATCAAGCACCGCTGGGCCCGGCCTAGAGGCTCACGGAGGAACCGAGGAGCCCCTGTGGCTCCGAGATACTCCAGGCCCCTGGCGGCCCCTGGCAAGTGGCCACGTGCTCCCGCGATCCCTCTGGACAGCTCCTGCAGCTGGGGCTCCTGCATGGCAGTGGCCCAGGAGCTGCAGGAACTGATGCTGCTGCTCTGGGATCGCAATGGGACATGTGCGCCGCTCTACTCTGGGATGTGGCAGGCACTCTGGAAAGAACTGGAGGAGCTGGTGAACCGAGGCCACCTGGCCTGCTGTGGCTCGTCTGGTTCCTCCAGAAGCCGCCATCACCCCAAGAGGCTGCTCCCAGCAAAATTCTCCACCACCCCTGGGAAAGCCTCAACCCCTGCAAGGATGGCACAGCAGCAGAGACCCACCATCCATGCAGGAACCTCAGGCTGTCAGAGACCCTCCATTCTGCCAGGAGCCTCTGCTATCTCTGACAGCCTCCATCCCTCGCAGAGGCTCAGGGAGACCTGTCAGCCTGCAGAAGGTGCAGAGCCCATGCACAGTTCTCCCAGCTCCCTTGGACTCCCAGACTTCAACAGTAAGGGTACAAGCCTGACCATTGACGTGGTCAGGGAAAGCCCAGAAGTCCAAGTGGGAGCCCAGCCCAATCCAGGGGAGCCTTCTCAGGAGCAGCTGGCGGAGCAGCAAGCATCCTGGGAGCAGCAGTTGTCATCCCACAGCTCCCAGAACTCTGGGCAAGTTGTGTCAGCTGCCAACAGCCCAAGCCTGGTGGTGGAGACGACCCTCAAGACACCAAGGAGGTTCCTCCATCTCCAGGAAGCTGCCCCAAGAAAGCCCTTGACTACCACAAAGGCCTTTCTAAGAGCAGGTGAGATCTCCCGAGGAGCTGTCTGAGGCTCGCCCAGTGCTCTTGAGGGACACCCCAGGCCAGGCCATGGCCCCTGAGAGCAGCCCAGTCCCTGGCTGTTTCCAGTGCCTCTGATGGCACGGCTTCAAAAACCCCTCTGCTTTGCAGCTGCTCCTGGCACCCCCCTGTGCAAAGCCTTGGGCTGTAGCCCCGGCCGTTCTCAACAGCAGAGTCCAGCCCACAACGCCGGGGACAGTGACAGTGACGGTGCCATCCAGCCACACTGCACTCCGGCTCCTGCAGCCTCTGCGTGCTCTGCTGTCCCAGCTCTGCTGCTCAACAGCCCGACGGCTGCGAGGCGGTGGCCACTGCTCGGCAGGCAGCAGGAAGCAGGTCAGAGCAACATGACCCACAGTGGCCCGGCCCGCTGCACTCGCGGGCGTTGGGGGAGGTTCCTGGGCACAAGGCTGATGGCTCGGTCTTGGTCGCAGAGCAAAAGAAGAAGCTGCAGGAGCTGTACCAGCTGGGTCCGCAGCTGGGGAGTGGTGGATTTGGCACCGTTTTCTCAGGCATCCGCCTCTCGGATGGGAGCCCCGTGAGTGGCCGTGATGGCCGGGCGTGCGAGGAGGGTGAGGGATGGGGAGGGGCAGGACTTGAGCTAAGCCTCTCTCTCTCAATGCCTTGCAGGTGGCTATCAAACGCGTGGCTCGGGACAGCGTCCTGCAGTGGGACGAGCTGGTGTGTGAGCGGGGCCAGCGGGACAGAGCGGGGCACGGCTGGCAGGGATAAGCCCGGGGTGCCGGGAGTGGGAGGCGGTAGATGGCTGGGGGAGCGGGCATGGTCTCAGCGTGCAAGCCGGGGCATTGTGGGCCCAGAGATGCCAAACATCGACCGTAGGGCCGGGCAGGGGGCACCTCCAAGCAACCCCTGGGCAGGAGGAATCCCAAACACCAGGGAGTCTGCCCGAGAGGGCACTGGGGCATCCCAGGCAGGAGGCAGCACAGCCACAGGGCAGCATCAGGCCTGCTGGAGGCATTTTCTCTTCCTCACAGCCCGATGGCACCCGTGTTCCTGTGGAGATCGTGCTCTTGGAGAAGGTGGGCTCTGGCTGCCACAACATCATCCAGCTCCTGGACTGGTTTGAGCTGTCTGACAGCTTCCTGCTGGTGATGGAGCGTCCGGAGCCATCGCAGGATCTCCTGCACTTCCTGCTGGAGCAGGGGTTCCTGTGTGAGGAGGTGGCACGCTGGCTTTTCTGCCAGGTGCTGGAGGCCGTGCAGCACTGCACTGCCTGCGGCGTCCTGCACCGAGACATCAAGCCGGAGAACCTCCTCGTGGACCTGGAGAGCGGCCACCTGAAGCTCATTGACTTTGGTTGCGGCACCTTTCTCCAGGAGCGCGCCTTCACGCAATTTGCCGGTGAGCCCACAGCCCGGGCCCTGCTCCCAGTGCCAGGCACTGCACGGCCCCATTCCCTCCTCGGCTGCAGGCTGCATCCTTCAGCTGGCTGCTGGCTGCCCTTTGGCAGCAGATGCTGTGCCCCAGGAGCTGGCTGCTGGCCCTGCCGACAGGGGGAGCTGCAAAAGCCAGGTCCTGGCCCCTCAGCTTAGCAGGCCCACAAGGCCTCGGGCTGCTCCGCTGGCCTTCTTTGCCTTGCAGAATGGTTTCTTGGCTTTGGCCACTTGGCTGGGGGATGTGGGGTGGCCTCGGGGAGAAGCTGTGTCCACCGGTGCAGCTCCTGCCGCTGCCAGGAGGCGGGCACCAGGCGCTGAAAGCCAGCAGCCTGCGTCTGGACAGCGCCACCCATCTCCCCTAGGAACACGCGCGTACAGCCCACCCGAGTGGATCCACCTTGGCTGCTACCATGGCCATTCAGCGACCATCTGGTCCCTGGGCGTGCTGCTGTATGTCATGGTCTGTGGAAACCACCCCTTCCAGGAGGACCGTGACATCATGTTCGGGCAGCCCTTCTTCAGGCAGCAGGTCTCTCCAGGTTGGTATCTGGCCTCAAGAAGGCAGACTTTTGCAGATGGCAGCATGCAGCCCAGCATGGCCCTCACACAGCTCCACAGGACATCCATCTGCCCTCAAGAGCTGGCTGCAGGAGGTGGCCCGTGCAACTGAAGGAGCTGGATGTGTCCCACTGTGCCACTCTCCCACACAGGGCAGAGTCGGCTGGGAGGCTGGCGCAGCTCTGAGCACACGCAGGGAGGCCCGGGCCCCGTGGGCGCCGTAAGCAGCTGAGCAGGAGCCTTTTGAAAATGACCAGCACTTTCTGGCTTCTCTCCCCAGAGTGCCAACATCTGATCCGCTGGTGTTTGTCCAAGCACCCCGCGGACAGGCCAGAGCTGGAGGAGATCTTGTGCCACCCTTGGGTGCGGGGCAGGCGTTTCTGATGCCTTGCTGGAGCCTCTGCAGCACCCACTTACTGAATCCCATGCAGGACTGAGGACCCAAAAAATAAAACCATAAACCCATTCTAGGCTGTCAAGTCTGGTCCTTGTTAGCAACTTCAGCTCAAGAGACCTCTTGGGAAAAGGGGTAATCAAAGGCACTCCCTTCAGCCTTTGTCAAGCTTTTGATGCCTTTCCTCCAGGATGGTACTTTTGTGTTGTTGTGGTTTTAAAACAGTAACTAAAATATTACTAGAAAACTTATTTCTTGCTGTCAGATATGGATTAGAACAAGAGCAAAACAGGCTTAAAACTTAAAAGGAATAAAGAAGGTTTATTAACAAAACTACAAGAATAAGAACACCAGAATAAACCTCCAGAAAACTCTTTTACCCCCACTATTTAATCATTCTCTCGTTCACATGACAACATAGAGGCAGAAAACTTTGGTGTTTAAAACAGTCCCAATTCCTGCTAGAGTCTTTTCATCAGTCTTTGTAGAGAAACAGAAGTCTTCTTCTGCTAATCTATGGAGTTTCTCACAAGAAAACTATTTCTGTTATAGTTTCCTATTTCTCTGATGCCAGCTGCCTGGAAATCCTGCCATCAGTTCACTCCTCCCATTTCACATCACTCTGAGGTGTGTTATGGGCCATGAGTCTAGGGATGTCATTTTTAAGGACGAGTTATTCAAAGGCAAAAGTTCTCTTCATCTGTCTCTGTGAGCTTCTCTGGAAACAGAAGTTTTCTCTTTGCCTCTCAAGGCCTCAAATCTTCAATTATTACTTCTCCCCTCTCTGTTCCAGCACCTCACTGTATCACAATTACTCCACCTTTTGCTCAAAATCCACACCTTGAACACTCCATTCCTCCCAATATACTCTGTCATGAATTAAAGGAGTTTTTTCAGAACACTATTGTCCATCTCCATAGCTTTAACAGAAAAATATTTCAGCTCATAAAGCACCTCCTTATTCTCTCTTCCCCATCTAAAACTTAACTCTTTTCTTCACTGTCTTTGATGAATTTATGATGTCTTCTTCATGTTGATTGTCTCTCTCTCTCTGTCTCTCTAGGAAAAAGTAGTAAACTGTACGTTTTATCTAAGTAGTAAAAGAATTCAAGTCTTGGAAAAGCTGCAGATGTTCATGGTATCAGGTTTCAGTCCAGCAGCAGAAACTACAAATTAAGCCAGGCCAGCCAGCTCCGTTTCTCTTCCACCAGGCCCTCCCCCCACAACCCTCTGAGGCCTTGTCCGGCCTGGAGGGGGGGGAGGAGGCCGAGACAGAGCCTTGTTACCTTTTCAGAAGCTGGTAAGCAGAAAGAGAGCAAGAGAACTCTGGCTTTACATCTTAAAGTGGTGTTCACAAGTTGATCTCACTTTTCAATGGTCAAAACTGCTGTCAATTCTTAGAAATGACTGATAACTGGTCAGGAGAAAAGACTCCCATCAGCCACCAGCAGCTTCAACTTCCTTAGCTCCCAAAGCTATCTTAAAGGTAAAGTCACCCCATGACATGTGTCTTCAAGCACAGGCTGTAGTACAGCTAGGAGGGTGTTTAACAAGCCATGAACTGTAACAGTGAAACAACAGCTGCCCTTTCAGACTGTCAAGCTTCTTGGTGTCTCCTGAAATGAAACTAGGGCTGTGTGTGCATTCCAAGGGCCAGCGGGTGGCAGGAGCAGAGATGTTCCTCTGCTACCAAAGCTGTGCTTCTGTAAGCACCAAAACTTCATTTCAGATTGAGCCCTGATGAACTCTTCCTCTTTCTGCCCCTGAAATGGGAGGCAGGGCTGGGCCTTTGACCAGCTGGATCCACAGCTCCGGAAGTCATGGACATGGAGCTCAAGGGAAATGTTGAGATGCTGGAGTCACTCCCATGGTGCTGGGTTCATTGCACTTCCCCAAAATATCTTCCTCTGCCTTAAAAACAACTCATGGAGATGGAAAGTGCAATAACTATTCTAGAAAGCACCCAGTTGCCTGCCCTGGCCCTGTGGGCAGGTGCCATCTACTAAACCTGTGCCACCTTCTGTCTACGGCACTCACCTACCAAAACGGGTGTCAGGAAAATTAATCCACAAACACCAGAGGTTTATGTCCAAAAAGGAGACAGAGGAGTCCTTTTTTCTTCATTCCAATAAAAGGAGAGGCCATGGGGCATTCCCCTGGGGTCTCTCAAATTTTTGGAGGGCGCAGCCTCCTTTTTATCTTAATTCCTGGCCGCTTGTCCCTTCTCTCTTTCCCCATAGGCTGAGGTACTTGAGAGGTATAGACTTCCCAGAATGTCTGATACTTAACATTATCCTCAAATGTATAACATTTCCGTTTGATTTTTAATTCTTATGGAATTTATTTTTTTTCTCCATTGTTTCTGTCATCTTTCAATATCTAATTTTATTTACCAGCAAACTTATAGTTCGTTTGTAAAGGCAAACATGTTTTTTCAACTCATAAGTCAGTGGAATTTTTCCCATTATTTCTTTTATCTCTCAGTGCTAGTTTTATATACCAGCAGACCCACAGCTTGTTTGTAAAGACAAATCTGTCATTTCTCTCAACCCTTCTTTTATTTTTTTAATAATTGCCTTTACAAACTTTAGTTATTATTATTGACTTAATTTCTTGTTCTTGGCATTTTTTGCTTTTGCAATTATTTGCAGTGACATTAATTTCTGTCATTTTGTAGCCATCTTTGGATTAGTAGGTATGGCTACTATTTGCATCTCTGATCACACATTGAATAAGTTGTATAAATTAGTATTCTGGCGCTTGATATTAATTCAGTAGAATTCTAAGTGGCTGGTCTGTAGTGTTGTATGATTTGTTTAGGTGGCCATTTATTTTTATCTTACTTCTGGATGCTCCCTCTATCCAGGGATGCATCAATTAACTGTTTTTTTCTAATTTGATCATCATATACTTTGATTCTTAACTGACTTTCTTGAACTTGTGGTAGCAGAAGGAACCATGGTCCTTCACATAACATATCTCTGACTAATTTGGGGGTAACTTGTGGTAAGCATATTGGCCACAAGTCTAGTAATGCCCTTTTAAAGTCCATGTCCTGTTGGCAAATGGACTTTCCTAATTTTTATCTTCAACTGGTGGGTCAAAAACCAGCTTGCTTCCGGGACCTAGTGGTCCCTCAACAATAGTTGCCCCACCATAAGAATTACAGTATTTACATTTCCAAGCTCCCATATGAGGTTCCTACCTGCAGTTACATCCCACAATTGTTTTGTTAGAGCTGGACTAGAATTTATTAAAGCGGGTTTGACTTCCATTTGCTGTTGTCACTTCTATTGATAGTCACAGACAGCATGTGTCCTGTTTGTGGAATTTTCTCTGGGGCAGCTTCATAAGGGGTCAAAAAACTTATCCTTCCCCACTGCTTTACAGCCTTTAAAAACTATTTGGTAATTATTGAAGGAACACTTTACTCAGCTACCATTAGTGACCTTAATGTGTTTGATTTTATCTGCCTTGATATTTGGAACAATCATAAGGAGGGCTGTTGGGGATCCAACAATCTAAACCCAAAGGTAAAGTCTAGTCACAAATGCTTTTTCTCATATATATGCTTCTTGTTCTATTTAGACAATTGTGAACCTGATTTTTCTGAGTTTGAGAGTTCCACCCTGTCAGTGGCTGATCTGCTCCCAAGGGAAAGTCTCATGAGAGCATCTCTCACTCAAGGACTATTATTGTAAATAATCTCATTTTCTCAAAAGAGTTCTGTACAGCTGTGGTTAGTGTGCTTTTCTCTTGTCCCACCAGTGGGACAGAGAGGTGGTGTTTCCTTTACCAATCATGTTAAACCGGTATCGTAATACCCTATAAAAAGCTGAAAAGTTTGGATAATAAAGCTTTCCTTAGCATCTCATTCTGGCTGCTGTGATTGAATCCACCCTTCTACTTTGTGTCCAACAGCGACAGATAATAAATGCTTTTCAGAAGAATGAAGCCACCATGGACTTCTTTCTTCATCCCAGAAATCTTGTTCTATTATGGACCTCACTTAGGGTGCTAACCTACCATTTAGGTTTGACTGGGCTGGCCACCCATGTCTAGTTTTTAGATCTTCCTGGCTCTCTGTAGACTGAACAATTGCTAAGGTTAAAGGTTTCTGCTACTCCTTCTCTTAAGGCTAAAAAATTATTTTCTTACTTTTGGACCCAACCTGACAATATAAAGGTAAGATTATTAAGAGAAACATTCTAATGGTGTAATTTTATCTCCTAACCTAATTTTCACTTTCACATTGTTTTCTGCACTACCTGTGGCAAGTGATGGCACAGAAACAGCTTAGCATAAAGAAAGCAATGACAGCCAGGATTGACCCCAATGACTGCAGATCCAAGAGGAGGGATGCCCACATAAACTGTTTCAGCAGGCAGTCTGTGGGTAGGCATTCAGGGCTTCCCCTGATGTCGACGCACAGCTACTGCTTTATTCAACTCCTGTGGAGTGTCAGTTGCGGCCTCTCATCTTTCTCCTCTAGTTGAGATGTCCAAATCTCTAGGGCCTCAGAGACCTTGACCCGAGTGTGATGGGTCCACCCGTGTTCAGCTGTCTTGACGGCTGTTTCTGTGGTCAGCAACACCTGGAAAGGTCCACGCCACTTAGCCACCAGTGGTGCTTCTTTCCACTCCTTAACTAGGACCCAGTCTCCTGGTTGGATATTATGCACTGCAAAGTCCAAAGGCAGGGTCTATGCCAGCTGAGCTTCCTGTCAAAGAGATTTCACAAGAGACAGTATCCGGGTTACATATTGTTTTAGATATACATCACTTATCTCTATCCCCCCACTAGGCTGAGAATTACAAGGGTAAGGAATTCCAAACAGCAATTCAAAGAGAGATAATTGAATACTTCTTCTGGGTCTGGCCCTTATTCTTGCTAAAGCCAGTGGCAAGAGCCATACCTATGGCATCTTAGTTTCTATTACCAGCTTCAGAAGGTGTTTCTTTAATTCTCTATTCATCCTTTCAACTTGGCTCAAA